ATCCGGGCACCCCTGGAGCGCCCTGGGTACGGCGCAGCTGCTGGAGAGCACCCCGAGGCTGGAAAACCGCGGAGAGTCCGCGAAAGTGCCCGAGAACGACCTCGAACCCTGCACCTGTCGTCTCCCCTCCGGCGGCGGCGGCGACGGCCGCCCGCCGCCCGCCGGCCCTACAGCATGGCTGCCTGCCGCCGGCCTTCGCGGCTGGCGCCATGCCGTCCTCGTCGGGCTCCGACCACGAGGGCCGCAGCGCCGGTTGCGATCCGCGAGCGGCCGACGCCCGCCTCCCGCCTGCTCGCCGGCCGTCGTGCAGCAGCCGCCGTGGAGCAGGCTCGGGCATCCAACGCATTGCAGACATCAAGAGGAAGCGTTGAAGCATAGAGCATGCCGCTGCCCCTGAGGAGCAGCACGACACAGAGAAGCCAGCACTGGTCTGCTTCGTATGCAACGCCATCTGATCGGCGGGAGCAAATTTTCCTTGCATCAAGTGACAGGAGGAGTTGGCTCAAACTTTCCAGGACAGTGACAGTGCATGCGCCGTCATATCTTGTGCAAGTTACACAGGGTGCGCCCACGTGGCACGATTTACAGAGCAGCAGCCGAAGAACGAGAAGCGAGGGCCCAGGCTTGAGGAGGACGTGGGGGCGGGAACGGAGGGCAGGATAAGGACGCAGTGGGGGTCGAACCGTCGGCGCGGCAGCAGCAGCGGGAAGGTGGCAGGGGGCAGAGGACGACGACGAAAGCCACGGGGAGGAAACCGAATAGTGCTGTTTTTGTCGATAGTACGCTAAAGATGCAGCGCTGCCTGCGCCATGACGCCGCGGCGCTCGACAAAATGACAAAAACGTTTTTGGTTACTGCAATAAGCGAGCGAGGCTTAACTCGCCCGCCAGCTTCCCAGCATCCTTCTTGCACTTCTCAGTGCGGGAGCTAAGCACGCGACGGTGCGCCGCCAGGTCTGCGGGCGGCCCGCGACAGCGCCCCGAGGGACCCCGCAGCAGCCCTCGAAAGTGGCGACGATTTCGCGGATCGCAGCCCCAGGGATGGCGATGTCTAATCTGAGCTGGGTGGTGCTTCGCTCCGCTGAACCCCCAGCAGCCCTCGAAAGAGGCGAGAATTTCGCAGATCGTAGCCCCCCCAAGGATAGCGAGGTCCAATCTGAGTCTGGGTGGTACTTCGCTCCGTTGATCCCCCAGCAGCCGTTGAAAGTGGCGAAGATTTCGCGGATCGCAGCCCCCCAGGGATGGCGAAGTCTAACCTGATTTTGGTGGTGCCTCACTCCGCTGGTCCCCCAGCAACCCTCGAAACTGGCGGCGATTTCGCAGATCGCAGCCCCCCCAGGGATCGCGAGGTTTTATTTGAGCCTGGGTGCTGCTTCACTCCGCTGAACCCCACAGTAGCCGTCGAACGTGGCGACAATGTCGCAGATCGCACCCCCCCGGGGATGGCGGATCTAATCGAAGTCTGGGTGGTGCTTCGCTCCGCAGCACCCCCCAGCAGCCCTCGACAGTGGCGACAGTTTCGCGGATTGCAGCCCCCCCGGTATGGCGAAGCATAATCTGATCTGGGTGGTGTTTCATTCCGCTGGGCCCCCCAGCAGCCTTCAAAAGTGGCGGCAGTTTCGCAGATCGCAGCCCCCCACGGACGGCGAGGTCAAATTTGAGCCCGCGTAGGACGTCATCCCGTTGGACCCCCCCAGCAACCTTCGAAAGTGGCGGCAGTTTCGGAGATCGCAGCGCCCCAGGGACGGTGAGGTCGAGTATAAGTCAGCGTAGGACGTCACCCCGCTGGCAGCAGCCCTCAAAAGTGGCGACAGTTTCGCACATCACAGCCCCCAAGGAGTGGCGAGGTTTACTTTGAGGCCGCGTAAAACGTCACTCCGCTGGAGCCCCCAGCAGCCGCCGAAAGAGGCACTAATCTCGCAGATCGCCCCCCAGGAATGGCGAGGTCGAGTCTGAGTTTGCGTAGGACGTGACGAGTACTCACTATGCTGGCCCCCCCAACAACTTTCGAACGTGGCGACAGTTTCGGAGATCGCCGCGCCCCAGGGATGGCGAGCTCTAGTCTGGATCTGTGGCGAGTGCCCACTACGTTGGCCCCCCCCCAATAGCCGTCGAAGGTGTGACAGTTTCACAGATCGCAGCCCCCCAGGGATCGCGAGGTCTAATCTAGGCCCGCGGCGGGTACCCACTATGCTGCCCCCCCCGCAGCCTTCGAAAGTGTCAGTTTCGCAGATCGCAGCGACCCAGGTATAGCGAGGTCTTCTTTGAGTCAGCGGCGAGTGCCCACTATGCTGGCCCCCCCGCAGCGTTCGAAAGTGGCGACGGTTTCGCAGATCGCACCCCCGCAGGGATGGCGACGTCTAGTTTGAGTCTGCGGCGGGTACCCACGACGCTGGCCCCCTAGCAACCCTTGAAAGGGGCGACTGCTTCACAGACCCCAGCCCCCCAGGGATGGCGAAGTTTAATATGAGTCTGCGGCGAGTGCCCACTATGCTGGCCCCCTTCAGCAGCCCTCGAAATAAAATTGACAACAATTTCGCAGATCGAAGCCCCCCATGGATCGCGAGTTCTAATCTGAGTCTGCGGCGAGTACCCACTATGCTGGCCCCCCAACGGCCCTCGAAAGTGGCGACAGTTCAGCTGAATCTGAATCTGCGGCGAGTTCCCACTATGCCGCCCCCCCCGCAGCGCTCGAAAGTGGTGACACTTTCGCGGATCGCAGCCCCCCAGAGATGGCGAGGCGATGGCAAGGGAGAAGAGAAGGAGGGAAGAGGAGGTGGGATGAGAGGAGGAGCAAAGAGAGGAGGAGGGGGGCAGGAGATGGAAACCGCATTGCTCTATTCAAAATGAGAACCCAACGCAGGAGGGTGCGGAAAAAACGGGGTCGTCTTCGCCGACGTTCGCGCTTAAACTGCCCGCGTAAGGTCGCGCGTGAGCGCCTTCGTCTTGAAGTTGCGTGCCGCGCTGGCGGCCCGCGTAAGCTGCGGCGTGAGGTCGCGGTGCCATTTCGCGGAAAACCTGCTTTTGATCGTCGCCCATTGCCCACGCGCAGAGGTGGGTTGGGGGGATGGGGGAAGGTTTGTTCGAAGCACCCCTGCTTCCTAGCAGGCGCGGGCCTCCTCTAGAAATGTAAGGCCGGCGCCCTCTAAGAAGCAGCCTCCTCCTAAGAAGCCTATTCCCCTCCCCCTACCCCCTGGTGCGTGCGGCGAAGCTCCTCCGTCATTGCAATAATCAAGACGGCGGGTTTTCTCGTCGGCTGCTCGGCCTGAGCCCCTCGCCGGCCCCGGGACCTTGAAAAAAAACGACTCGGGACGGGAATCCGGCCTTGGGGCTTGGCATCGCTCGGACGTGAGGTCGCGGTGTCATCTCGGGTAAGTCCTGTTTTTGATCGTCGATCGCCTGGGGCGGGCCCCCCTCCACCACAGGCACCTCCTCCGCCGTTGCAAGAATCTCAAGACGGCAGGTTTTTTTTCGTCGGCCTTTCCGCTTGAGCCTCTCGCCAGACCCCTGGGGGACCGTCAAGAACAACTCGGGACGGGAGTTCGGCCCTGGGCTTACGTCGGGCATGTCTCATACAGGAGGAATAGTCAAACATAGTCAAAAACAAATAATGTTTGTTTGGAATATTTGAGCGTGTGCACTGGTTTTCGTCCAACATCTGGCTGTAGGGGGACATGCCCGACCTCACCCTTGGGGTTGGCATCGCTCGGACGTGTGCATTTTCTTCCCGCGAGGACCATCGAAGAGCATTCTGGATCATCGAGTCAACAAAAACAAACACGCGAAACCGAAACAACTGCACGGGAAATGGGCGTCCGAGCGACGGCAGGGGGAAAGGGTCGAGTCTTCTGGGGGCCCCGTGCTGGGGAAAGCAGAGCATCGGATGTCTGGGCCCGCGCCGAGAAGTCGTGAAAGGTCGCCGTGAGCGCAGAGGGGTCCTCGGTCACAGCTTTGCATCGCGGCCACCGTTCGGACGGGGCCAGGACGAGGACAATTCCGTTCCAGGGCGTTCCAGGACGTCCTCAGAGCGTTCCGGAACGCTTTGAGGAGGCCGCGGCGCCCGATGCATCCTCCAGTGCCGCCGGATCTCAGAGATTCTCGATTTATCCTCACCCGATGTTGCCTCCTTTCTGGTCTCGGCTTTCCTGGGGCAGAGGGGTCCTCGATCGTGGCTCTGCAGCGCGGCCAGCATCTGCTGGGCGGCGTCGGAGTCCCCAGCCCCGCAGCGGAGCGGAGAGGAGACTGGGGGCTCTAGGGGCAAGCCAGGGCCTGGGCGGCCACGGGGCAGAGCACAGGAGGAAAAGGGACGGCAGGTTTGCGTCGTGTCGACCAGCGGCGACCCCGCTGCCAGCGTTCAACGTTGAATTCCGCGGGCGACCCAGAATCGGTCGGTGTTGAACCATCTGACGTTTCGGAAGTTCAAGGTTGAGCAATCCCCGTGGTGTCAGAAGCCAGCGCCGAAGTCGGCACGACACGAACCTGCTGTACCCAGACCGCTGCGTTTCCAACGTTTTCGCCTTTTGGGGGGCCTCCTGAGGCCCTCGTCGCCACCGCTGGATTCGCCTCGGAATCCTGTTCAGAACGCACTCCGGGTGAGGTCCGGGTTGTAGCGCTAGATCGGTATTGTTTGGTTTCTCCCAGAGAACAGGACATGGCCTCGAGCAGAGGGAGCCCTGGAGGTTTCTGCTGGCCGTCGGCGGCCTCCCCGCGGCCCCCTCCCCTCGGGGCCCCTGGACCGCCGCTGGGGCAGCCCAACATGCCGACACCGCCATTCCCGGACCTGTCCCCGGGGCGCAGTCTGACCAGGCTCTCGAGGCGCAGCCCGCGGTGGCGACGAGGGCTTCCCACGCGGCCGGGCAGCGGTCTCGGTTCCCTGAGTCGACGTCGTCGCGGCCTTCGCCGCCGCCGCCGTCGTCTTCCCCGCACCCCCACGCCCGCCCTTGGCGCGGGCTGGCGGTCTCCGACTGGGACGAGCAATGGGACGAGCTGGAGGCGCGGGCCATGCGGAGCCTGGACAAGGCCGCAGCCCGCGGTCGCCTTCCCCCCCCCACACCACGACGGGTTTTGAGATCTGTGCTGTTGATCAAGACCTAGACCTCCGACGAGACGGTTTTTGTCCGCTGCTGAGTTGTTCTGTCAATTTCTAGTCTGGGGGGCCGCTCCTGGGTCTGGGGGGCCATCAAACACGGACCCGATACGCAGTACTGCGCCAGCGACGTGGTAAGGCGCCCTGGGGCCGTGGATGCAAAGAACCGCATCGGCGGATGTCAGGGGACTCCGCCCCCCCTTTGTGGGGCCATGCTCGACCGTTCGGCCCCACATGGGCCGAGCGCTCGCCCAGCAGCAAGGGCTTGCCCCCCTCCTCCTCCTCCTCCTCCTCCTCCTCCTCCTCCTCCTCCTCCTCCTCCTCCTCCTCCTCCTCCTCCGCTGTCCGCTGTCCGCTTTTGGCGTCTTTTTAGACCCCTGCGAGGGGCCGCTTGCCCGGTTCCGCACCTTGTCTCCTCACGATATGCGGCGTCTGCAATCCTCAGTAAGATTGTTTTCATTCTGGCATGGGGGCCAGTCTGCCTGGTTGTTCCCGCCCCTTCCCTAACCTGGACCCGTGGTGCCTTTGCCCGCCTAAGCCGCCATGACGGAAAGGGGTGCTGAGAGACACGGGGCTTGGGCTTTTTCATCTTTTTCGGCCACGCGGGCCCCCTCCCCGGCGCCTGGGACTCCAGGTGAAAGGCCCGTCTTGGGGGAAGCACACGGGTACGGTAGGTTCGCGTCGTGCCGACCGGCGGCGACCCCGCCGCGGGCGTTCAAGGTTGAACTTCGCCAGTGGCCCAGAATCGGCCTACATGGAACGATCGGGCGATCGAAAAGCCGCCGATCGTTCAAGGTTGAACGATCCACGTGGTTTCAGAAATCAACGCCGGGGTCGTCACGACACGAACCTGCCGTACAGCACCCGCTTCCCTCTTGACGCGCTTCGTTCATGGTAGTAAGAGGAAGGCCGCCCAAGAGACCGTCAAGCAGGCCCTCCAGGGGCCAGACAAAGTCCCAGCTGGCCGGCTTTGGCCTTTTGGGTCTCTCGGTCTTTTGCCTCTGAAGGGCATGATCGGTTGCTTCTCGGCCCCCCTTCCCTCAGTCTCGCCCGTCAGCCTGAGGTGAAGCCAACCAGGTCGAGCACTTGTGTCGTCCTCCATTCCTCCTCCAGGGACACGGGCACCACCTCGACCCTGGACCCGAACTGGGGGTGGTAAGGCGGCCGCTGGACTCGAGGCCCTGGAGGGCCTGGAGGCGAGGACAGGAGCGGCACAGGACCGCGCGCGTCGCGAAGGCAGAGGAGCAGCAGCAGGGTGAGCAGCAGGCGGATGAGAAGAGGGCCAGTGCGGTCCTCCCTCCTCCTCCTCCTCCTCCTTCTGCTCCTCCTCCTCCTCCTCCTCTTCCTCCTCCTCCTTCCTCCTCTTCGTCCTCTGCCCCTCCCTCCTCCGCATCCTCTCACCTCTCCTTCACCTCGAAGGCTGCCGAGATATCCGCACTGGTCTTCCGAGGGGAGCAGCAGGAGGAGGAGGAGGAGGAGGAGGAGGGGGACCCAGACCCCAAGCGGACCCAGGGCAATCCGCAGAACGAGCCGCGATGGGAAGCTGCCTCCTGGGAGGGGGGACGAAACCTCAGACCGAACCGCTGGAGGTACGCATGAGGCGGGGGGGCGCTGGGTAAGAGGAGGAAGCTTGGAGCTGGCTTGGGGGCTGGAGTGGGACATCAGCGGTTCTACGCGTTAGAGAGCGGGGAGGGACACCATTGTGTACAGGTTTTGCTCCCTGTCCCCTCTGGCCCGCCTTCTCCAGATAAGCATCGGATGCCGAATTTGCGCCCTTCCCCCGCTGGCCTGGTTTTACTGTGCCCGTCAAGGGCCAGGCTCCCCAGCTGCCTCTGAGGAGAAAGCAAGAGCGGCACCCAGTGCAGGGTGAGGCCATGCCTCTGGTGAAGTGTGATTCGGGTTGTGGGTACGCTTCGGCCCAGCGTCGGCAGGCGTGGCTGCGGGCGCACGAGCGCGAGCGCGAGCACGATAAGGGCGAGACCCCACGCTGGGATGGAGTCCCTGCCTGCGCCTTCGCGGCGGCCCCAATCCGTCGCGCGCCCGTGCGGTTGGATATCGCCGGGAGGGCTGCGCGCGTGCTTCTGCAGGGCTTGCCCCCTGCCACTCCCCCTTGTGGTCATCCACCTCTCCTCGTCCGTAGCCGTTCTGGTCCAAAGCGGGTTTGCAGCCGCGAATTTCATAACGGTTGTCTTGTTGCTGGCTGTTGTGGCGCGGCGTTCACATGTTCATCCTTCCAGCCTGAGGGACCTCAACCCTTACAGGACTCAGTTGTTGTATGGTTCCTGCGTCCGCAGGCGATGTGGCAGAGCGCTGCCCATGCACGAGGACGCTTGCGTGGAAATGCAGCGCATGTGGATGCGCGCGAAACAACATGACATCATCTTGGTGCAAGCGTTGCGGGGAAGCTTGGGTCGCTCGTGCTGTGGCTCGTCCTCCGGGTCCTGGTGGTGTTTGGTCGAAGCCCTTCGCTTTCGCTGACGGACCCGCTGCAGCTCTCACTCTTGGTTCCCAGTCTGGGAAGTTCGGGAGCAAAGGCGGTGAAAAAGTGGGTGGCGCCAACGGAACTTCAAAGGTAAAGGGAATGGCTCGTGGAACTCGGGAACGGCTGGCGGTGCAGGTCCCCTGGTCCTCTATGCGTGTCCCCTTGTCCCCACGTTCGTGGAATGGCTGGAGGCCTCCATCCAGCTCCGCAAAAGGTGGACAACATTCAAGAGATTGAGTCTACATGAGCCGTCGGCGCTGCAGACCCCGCCCAAGAAGAACGAATCCATGGAGGAGCAGTTGGCGCGTTGCCAGAGAACAATGATCACACTTCCCAGTAAAATGTCCAACGGGTTCAAGCAGTTCGAGAACTTCCTTGCCAAGGTGTTGGCTCAGGAGCACATCCTCGGCAAGCTCAGTCTGGATCCACGGGGCCTGGATCGCGTGCGTGATGAGTCCTGGGAGAAGGGGAAGGATGAGGCTGGTGAATGTACACCGTCGGTGGCGCTCACGGTGGGGAAGGCGGACTCCTTCCAGATGGACATTGGCGACCTCTTCGACCTGGGCCCCAAGCGCAAGTCCCTGGGCGAGACAGACGTCGTGGAGGACACCGAGCGCAAGGGGCAGTTGTTGTCGGGCATCGACACCATGGCGAAGGAGCTCTTTTCCAAGGCAATAAAGTTTGCGCAGCAGGCGAAGCAGGCGTGTCAGGAGCAGGCGACCAGAGGTGCTGCCGAGACGTGTCGTGGCGAAGATTTGGGCTCTTCCAAGAGCTGCTGCGGTTGCCGGCTGCGCGGGCGGCGCGCCCTGCCCATGTTGTAGACACGCAGGTTCGGCAGCTCCCTTCTCGCCGGCGGCACGGGTTGTCCCCGTCTGTTGCAGCCTCTGGGGGGCCTGGGGGCCTCTATTGGAGAAGGTGCGAGAACATGCCAAAGGATCGGCCGCCAATCATCGCCGGCCCGAGAACAAGGAAGCCCCCCCCCCGGCCACTCGATCTCTCGCGCGCATGGGGGGGGCTCAGCGTCTCGAATTGCTGTTCCGGGCGCCCCAGCCTCGACTCGCCTCGCAGTCTCGCGCCTCCAGGGCCGTCGCCCCCCTGAGCGGAGGAGCTTGTTTTGCTAGGCTGTCCGCAGCGACGCTCGTTCTTCGATGGGGGAGTGGCTGCCCTAGCGCAAGCCGCGCGTGTTCTTGCTTCGGGCATGTGGCCCGACTGATGGAGCATCGCAGTGGCATTTCAACATCGTTTGGAAGTCTGCATGGGTTCCTGGGAACCTTGGAGAGGGGGGCCCCTTCTCGGGGGTTGCTGCGGTTGACGGGTCCTGCATGGGCCTTGTCACCATCAGGCTCAGCAGGGTAGCTGGGACCATCGCCCATCCCCCTGGCAGCCGGCCAATTCTCCATCTCAAATTTTCGATCGGCACTTCCGAGCTGCATATGAAGGTCCTGGGCGCCTTCGGAGGGGGGCTGCCCGCGTCGAGGCTCGCACTCGCGCGGGGGTGAGATTCGGGCGGCGAGGCGGACGTCGTCATGGGGGCGAAGTTCGTTCTTAACCAGGGGGCAGCTGGTCTCGGCGGAGGAGCCCGCGCGCTCCGGCGCGGTCGGCCACGGGGCACGGATTTATTCGTCTTCTCGGGGGGCTTTTCCGAGGCTGCGTGCTCGGCCGAGGTCAACCCTGCGACTGGTCTTTTCGCGCCCCACCCTTGAGGGGCCTCCATTCTGTTGCCTCGGGAAACTTTCGCGCATCTCCCTTCGGGCAGCCCCCCCTGCTTCCCGTCGATGCCCCCTTCGGCCCCGAGCCCGAGCCCTTGCCTCTCCCGACGTGCGAGGCCCTCCCGGACAACGCCCAGAGGATGGCTCTCAGCGGGGCCTGCCGTCCCTGGGCACTCTCCTGCGGGGCGCCCGCGCATCTCGTACCAGCGCGTCGCAGACTGAGCCGCGTCGCGTCGCGGTTTGCGCCCGCCCGCCCAATGGGGCCAGAGGCAAAGTCAGCGCTCCCCAGCGGCGACCCGCTCTCGGACGGGCGAGCTTGATTGTGTAAGATGCCCCAAAATTCCAAGTGATGTTTTTTTGGTTCTTCTGGGCTCCGTGGATTCCCGTTCGCGCAGCTGCCTTGAGATCCGCTTGTCGGGCGTCTCGGTCTCCTGCGCAGCTTGCGCAGGAAAACCGCGGCGGTTGCGACGGCCTGCGCCGTTGTCTCCGACCTGGCCAAGAGGTTCTTTGCAGTGGATGGCGGGCCGCACTATTGTTGACGAGTTGCTTGAGTAAAATTGATGTTGGTCGCGTCGTCATTTCGGGGATGAACGGGGCCCCGCGGCTCCTCGAAGGGGTCGATGAGCGGGGCCAGACGGGCCCTGGGGCTTGGAAGCCGACAAGCGCTTCGCGCGCGCGGGGGCCATCGCGGCTGGCCTCGAAGCTCTGGGAGGTAGATTGATCCAAGCTCGGGCGTCTGCGGCAGGCGAGCGCGCGCCTCCCCCCCCCCCCCTGCGCGCGATTGTTCGCCGGGAGATATTTTGGGCCGATTCGCCCGGGGAAATCTCCCGCTTTTTGTTCGAGGGAGTCTGCCGTTGGACTCGACGGCTTCCGCGCGCCTCTTTATCGGTTCTTCCTAGATGACTCCGTGCGCGCGCTGGCCCGTTGCAGTCCGATGGTAGTGCGCTCCCCCCGTCAAGGTCGGGCATGTCCGACAACTTGGATCCCGAAAGCTGATGCTGGTTCCGGCCGGGCTCTTCGCGAGCCCGCGTCGGGTTTCTCGGGGGCGCGGGGGCCCGGCGTTGGCGCGGGACAGCGAAATCGATCGGCCCTACTGGGCTGCTCGCGGGAACGCACAGGTCGACCACGGACGAAGCATGGGGGCAGAGCGTGCGAGCTGAGACAGGCACCGCGTCGGGCCAGCATGCGGGCCTCCTATCCGGGACACGTGCAGCTAGTATGCGCGGGCAGATCCCGCTCGCGCTGCTCGAGGCCCGTGGCCGCAGTCTTGATCCCCACGCAGTGCTGCTCTCAGCGTGTCTCGCGGCTCACCGACCGGCTAGGCGCGCGGTGCTCTGCGCCGCGGCCGCCGAGGCTCACGTCGCGCCTTGCGGGTTGGTCGCGGGGCGTTCGATGGCGACGACCCTGATCAGAGCTCTCTGATTTGGAGCGTCTGATTGGACACTGGTCGCTCGCATCACCACTCCTGGCATTAAATCTGCGATTATGGTCCGAATGCCGTCGGCGAGACTGACGTGATTGTTGCAGCTTCAGTGGGCCCATTGATGCGCCTCGTCAAACGATCGCCGTTATGATGAAGGCACATGTTTCGTTTGACAAGTTGCCATGCGGCGCCGGCTACATTCGCCCCCTCCAGTTTGGGGGATGAGTTCGGGGCCCCCGTGGGGGCGCGTCGGAAGACCGCTGTTAATCGCGGACCTACGTCGCGTTCGCGGCCGAAGTTATGAGGCCAGGGCGCGAATCTCAGCTGCCTCCGCGCGCGCGCCAGGTTGCTGGCGCGCCAGAAAGGGGTGGGCGTGCTGAGGAGGCGCTTAGTGCAAGGCTGCTGACGAGCCCCCAGCGCGGCTCCGAGTTTCGCGGCGCTCCCGAGGGGGAGCTGCTGGTCGCGCGCAGGTTCTTTGCTTCTGCCAGCCAGCCGCCTCGCGGAGGACGGAGCTTGACCATCCTGATTATTTATTTGTAAGTATGTTTGAATATGTGTTGGCCGTTTTGTTCTTTCTTCCAAAATCCGCCTGCAGGAGGACATGTCCGACCTAACGCTAGGGCGTTTTTAGCTTTGGACTCGTGCGGGTGCGGAGTTCACGGATCCTACCAGCGATGCTCCCTTTTAAGCCAGGGCCTGCCAGGTGTCTGTTTAATTGCCAGGTCGTTGTGCATGAGTCTGCGAAGCTGCAGTTTGAGCGTCTACACCCACGCAGTCCATATTCGAGTGCCGCGATGCAGACTTCCGAATTTACAGGAAGTCTCTGGGGGAGGGTCTCGGAGGTCAAAGCTCACCAAGATGAAGACCCCGCCTTCTCATCGAGGACAGGCTGATGTTTTTGGGCAGTAACGGGGCCGCCGAGGAGGGATAATTGGTGCACCCCCAGCTAGCTTTGGTTGGCTGAAAATTAGCCTGGCGAAGGACCCAACCATATGCAGTTGTGAATGCCGCAATTGTGCTGGGTGGTGGCGGACGCATGTGGGCGGTGCCACTGGGACCTTCGGTGGAGCTCCCTATGGGGCCACGAAGCGCTGCACTGGGTGGGTGAGACGCGGTCAGCAAGGGCTGTGCTGCGTGGTGGCGGACGCATGCGAGCAGTGCCACTGGGACCTTCGGTGGAGCTCCCTATGGGGCCACGAAACGCTGCACTGGGTGGGTGAAACGCAGGCAGGGAGCAAGGGCTGCGCAGGGTGGTGGCGGACGCATGCGGGCGGTGCCGCTGGGACCTGTGGTGGAGCTCCCTATAGGGCTACGAAGCGCTGTTCTGGGTGGGCGAAGCGCAGGGAACAAGGGCTGTGCTGGGTGGTGGCGGACGCAAGCGGGCAGTGCCACTGGGACCTTTGGTGGAGCCCCCTATGGGGCCACGAAACGTGCGAGGGGTGTGCCAGAATGGGGTGTGGAACCGCATGCCAGCGCAGCCACTGGGGCCTTCGGTGGAGCTCCCTATGGAGCCACGAAACGTGTGAGGGGTGTGCCGAAATGGGGGGGTGGAACCGCATGCGAGCGCAGCCACTGCGGCGTTCGGTGGAGCTCCCTATGGGGCCACGAGACGTGTGAAGGGCGTGCCGAAAAAAGGGGGTGGAACCGCATGCGAGCGCAGCCACTGGGGCCTTCGGTGGAGCTCCCTATGGGGCCACGAACCGTGTGAGGGGTGTGCCGAAATGGGGGGGGAACCGCATGCGAGCGCAGCCACTGGGGCGTTCGGTGGAGCTCCCCATGGAGCCACCCACGAAGCGTGTGAAGGGTGTGCCGACATGGGAGGGTGGAACCGCATGCGAGCGCAGCCACTGGAGCGTTCGGTGGAGCTCTCTATGGGGCCACGAAAGCGTGTGAGGGGTGTGCCAGAATGGGGGGTGGAACCGCATGCGGGCGCAGCCACTGGGGCCTTCGGTGGAGCTCCCTATGGGGCCACGAAACGTGTGAGGGGTGTGCCAGAATGGGGGGTGGAACCGCATGCGGGCGCAGCCACTGGGGCCTTCGGTGGAGCTCCCTATGGGGCCACGAAACGTGTGAGGGGTGTGCCAGAATGGGGGGTGGAACCGCATGCGGGCGCAGCCACTGGGGCCTTCGGTGGAGCTCCCTATGGGGCCACGAAACGTGTGAGGGGTGTGCCAGAATGGGGGGTGGAACCGCATGCGGGCGCAGCCACTGGGGCCTTCGGTGGAGCTCCCTATGGGGCCACGAAACCCGGTGGCGCATCAATGGGGCCACGCCGTGTCGGTGGAGGTGGAACCCCTACTGGGGCAGAGCTCCCTATGGGGCCACGAAACGTGTGAGGGGTGTGCCAGAATGGGGGGTGGAACCGCATGCGGGCGCAGCCACTGGGGCCTTCGGTGGAGCTCCCTATGGGGCCACGAAACGTGTGAGGGGTGTGCCAGAATGGGGGGTGGAACCGCATGCGGGCGCAGCCACTGGGGCCTTCGGTGGAGCTCCCTATGGGGCCACGAAACGTGTGAGGGGTGTGCCAGAATGGGGGGTGGAACCGCATGCGGGCGCAGCCACTGGGGCCTTCGGTGGAGCTCCCTATGGGGCCACGAAACGTGTGAGGGGTGTGCCAGAATGGGGGGTGGAACCGCATGCGGGCGCAGCCACTGGGGCCTTCGGTGGAGCTCCCTATGGGGCCACGAAACGTGTGAGGGGTGTGCCAGAATGGGGGGTGGAACCGCCTGCGGGCGCAGCCACTGGGGCCTTCGGTGGAGCTCCTTATGGGGCCACGAAACGTGTGAGGGGTGTGCCAGAATGGGTGTGGGAGGGGGAGGAGGGGGGAGGAAGGGGAGGAGGAGGAAGGAGGAGGAGAAGGAACGCGGGGCGACGTCTATTCAAAACGAGGACCCAACACCACAGGATGGTTGGGAACGATTTGGTTGATTTGTCGTTCGCGGTTGCCCAGGCCGCCTCGTGGTTCGCGGCGAATGTGATGGAGAAAAGCGGCTTCGCGCAGGCATTGAGTGGATCTCTCGCGTTCCGAGCCTTCCCCGCTTGGCCGATGATTACGAGACCACATCGCCACCGGAATTGGGTTGGCACGAACCCCAATATTTGGAGCGTCTTCCCCTTGGGCGCTGCGCTAACAGACTGAAGGTTGACCCGAACTCGCTGCGTGAGTTTGGTCATAAAAGCAGCGTGGCCGACTAGCGACGGCAGTTTTGTGTTTGTGTCGGTGTTGTTTGTTTTGCACTTCAGGAGGGCAATTGAGAAGCTTGGGTGGCCCGTGCCTTCACCTGGCCCAAACTGCGTCTCCCGCCTCAGACAAGGATGGGAAGTAAGGGGGGGTGTTCCAAGCTCTGCAAAAGGCCTTCATCCCAACAGATCGGGGGCGACTGCCGATTTGGACGGCATTGGCCGACTACGAGGCGAGGTGGCCCCGTGAGAGCGGTACCATCCACTCATCCACTCCCCTATCGCTCTTTTTCCCCTGCCCCGCTCCACATTCAAGTTTCTCCCTTTTCCTTTCGTCTGCCTCCCTGCTTCACCGCCTCCTTTTTTTCCTCCTCCTTCTCCTCCTCCTCCTGCTCCACGTTCCTCGTGTATCCCCGCCCCCCCCCCTTCCTCCCTCCGTCCTTTCCCCCGTCTTCCTCGCAGCTCATCCCTCATCATCCTTCTCCCCTGCCCTTCGTCCACACCCACCATACATTCATTCATTTGGTGTTTCGGATAGCTTCTGCTCGTGGTCGGCACCAGCCTCGCCCCATGTATTCTGGACAACAAATTGGGGGTTACATTATGGGTGTGTGTGTGCGTGTGATTTGAGCTGTCTTGGAGGGTTCGGGGGGGTCTGAGCAAACGTCCGCCCTGTCAAGGCTGGTCAGGGGGGGGTCTGAAATTGCTCGTCCGGGAGGGTTGTGACCCCCCACTTTTAAATTTACATCACGAGTGGTGCTATCATCATCTTCGCTTGCTCATTCGCCCAGGCTTTCACGCTTGAGCCCACGCCAGAAGACAATATAAGATATCGCGCAACGAATCACCGAGCTTCGCACTGCGCCGTCAGGGCGGCGACACGTCGTGTCCCTGCGAGCCCCATTGGGGATCCCCCAGCCGCCTCGCCAAAGAGAGGCGGTCCTTTCTGCGGCGACAGCCGACCCGACGCGGGCTCTGGCACCACAGCCCAATGAGCCTCCATGCCGTGGGCATCGGAGTGAGGTGCGCCGCGATCCTTGGGGCGTGGTGGAATTCTATGCCATCGTCTCATCGGTCCTTCCCAGAGTCTCCAGGCAGTGCATTCAGTGGCTGTGCATTCAGGGGGACAGGGCTCGATTGGAGAGCGAGGTCGTGTGCCTTCGCGTATCCTCCCCTGCCGCACAACGGCCAGGAGGACAGTCAACAGAGGCCCTCAGAGTGCACCCCCCGCACAATCGCACCACGGAGCGTTTGGTCAAAGAGTCCGAGTAGTTTGAGCGACGGCATGAGCAGCTGCAGCATCCCACAAGCCCTGCGGCAAAGCATCATAATCGCATCCTTTCTCCGAGCGTATATCCTTCTCCTCCGCGCAGTCATGCCTCGCTCACAATACATGCATTCTAAGCAACCGATGGACCCAGACGACACCCGACCGCTGTGGGCAGGGCCCGTTCGCTCCAAGTCTTCTGTACGCATCAGCTAGATTTGTGCCACCGCCCGACGATGGCCAGGGCAGGGGTTGCAGGGTGCATGGGGGCACCGGAACACTCGGGCATCAAAGAGCATGTGCGCATTTCACGCGGAGTGGCTCCGAAAGAAGCCCGTCGACAGGCATTTGGCACAACGGGGCGATCCGCATCGCGGGCACTTGCATACGCACGCACAGGCTTGGGTGAACACGGCAATTCGCAGGTTCGCAAGCGACCCCGTTGCCGCTTTTGTGCGCCGCACCAACGCGGTATAGCGCCACCTTGTCGCGAAATCTGCACGGAGTTAGGTCGAGGGAGGGGGATCGCTCGTTCGCGCGGATCCCCCGCGCCTAAGGAACCAAGGGGGTGCAACATATAAAAGGCGCCCAACCACGAGAACCTGCGAAATCAGTGCAGCGCTTGTAGAAGAGGTGCATGCCGTCTTTGTGCTCGCCGATTTGGCGAGCGACGAATGCGCGCCGCGCCCAAGCAGGAATTCGTCGCCTGGGCGAGAGAGGCATGTCGCCTTTCGTCGGTTATGTGAGCCCTGTCTCGCTCTTGCCGTTCGTTTTGAAATGTCGACATCAACGTGCCCATGTTGAGCGGGAAGACGTAGATGTTGCAGTGTTTTGGATTGGTAGGGTTGATCCCCCCCGGATAGGGCGGCTATCGGCTGGCTAGGTGGCAGAGTAGCAGCACATACGAATAAGGGACATCGATTGAAGGGGGAGGGGGAGGAACAGGAGGAAGAGGAGGAGGAGGAGGAGGAGGAGGAGGCTGGAGGAGGAGGGGAGGAGGAGGAGGAGGAGGAGGAGTGACAGCATATAAGAAGAAGGAATTGTTGACGCTTCGCGTATCCCCACCAGCCCATCCAGAAACGATGCTCAGGGGAGTTGAGGTGATCAGGGAAGTCGGGGAGCATGCAGAATAACAAAGGGCGGGGGAAGCTGTCACAGACCCCGAGAGGGGGAGGATGGAAGAGGAGTCGTCGTCGTCGTCGTCGTCGTCGGAGGAGGAGGAGGAGGAGGAGGGGGAAGAGGAGGAGGAGGAGGAGGAGGAGGAGGACGGAGAAGGAGGAAGAATCGGAGGAGGAGGAGGAGGAGGGGAAGGAGCTTCTTGGGGGTCTTTTGAGGGCCTCTTGGAGGGCTTTTTGGGCGCCTTGGGGCATCTTGGGCGCCTCTTGGGACCCTCTTGAGGCGCTCTGGGGAGCCTTCGGGGCGCTTTTGGGGCCATCTTGGAGGGAGTCGATCAAACAAGAGGGGGGGTTTAATTAGCGTCCCCCCTCGGAAGCCCCTAAAATCGCCTCTTGGACCCCTCTTGGAACGCTCTTGGAGTGCTCTTGGGCGCTCTTGGGGCCGTCTTGGGGCTCTTTTGGGGCTCTCTTGGGGCCCTCTTGGGCCATCTTGGAGCCATCTCCAGGCCTCGGATGGCCATCGGAAGCGAAAAGGCGAGAAAGCAAAAATCATTGATTTTCCTTAGGTTTTGGGACGATTTTGGCCTCTTCGGGGCCTCCTTGGGGAGCTGTTTGGCCACTTGGAGTTATCTTGGGGCCGTCTTTGGGCTTCTTGGAACCATCTTAGGAGCCATCGTGAGCGATCTTGCGCTATCTTGAGCCATCTTGGAGCTCATCTTGGGTTCTCTGAGGCGCTCTTGGAGCCGTCTTGGGCCATCTTGGACGCTCTAACTACCCGCGGCCCCCCCCGTCCAGGTCCAGGGGAGGGGGTAGGGGGAGGGGTAAACCCCTCCCCAAGGGGGAAGAGGGAGGGGTGGAAGAGGATCTGTTCTAGACCACCTACGCCCAGAGGGCTGGTGGGATATCGATTGAAGGGAGGGGGATGAGCTGGAGGAGGAGGAGGAGGATAAGGAGGAGGAGGAGGAAGTGGAGGCGGAGGCTGGAGGATGAGGGGAGTTGGAGGAGGAGGATGAGGAGGAGGAGGAGGCGAGGGCTCAGGAGGAGGAGGAGGAGGAGCGTGTATCCCCGCCGCGGTCACAGCCGTCCCCTTTTTCTCCTTCGAGGTGGTTATGATGGTTTCATCTCCTATGCTCGTTACTGTACCATGCCGTTCACCTTCTACTGTATACCCACCGGCCAGCGACTCCTGGAGCGAACCCTTCTGGAGTCGCCTGGCGTCGCCTGGCTCTTGGTTTGGACACCCCCCCAGGGCCGACTGGCCCTGGGGGGAGGGCGGCATCCGACGGATCCTAGCGCCTTCCGCTCGTCCGCTCGTCAGGAGGAGGAAGAGGAGGCTGCACGGGGGGAGGAGGAGGATAGGGCGACGAGGGGGGGGAGGGGGGCGAGGACGATTACGGCGAAGAGGAGGGAGGGCTAGGAGGTGGCGAAAGAGGAGTATTTACTCAAATGGCTGGCGCAGTCCGAAGGCGAGAGCTGCCCTAGCACTGGGGGAGGGGGGGGGGAATCAGGAGGGGGGAAAAAGCATAATTACAGGCACAAGTAATCGTCGATACCCCGAAAATTGAGAAAATATGGGATGTGGAGGGGAAGACGAACACACAGTAAAGATTTGAGCTGGCGCTGGGCCGCAGCCGAAGCGCGAAGCGTGGTGCCGCGGAGGTACTCCTCCCCCCCCCAAAAAAAAGCGTATCCCCACCAGCCCATCTCAAAACAGCAACTCTAGCGAAGCATGCCGACAGTCGTGTTTTTCAGGCGTGTTTCCGCCTGCCCCCGCATATCTCCCATGTTCCTCCTTCCTCCCGCCTCCTTGTACATCCTCCTTGTGGTGGGAGCGGGAGAAGGACGAGGCGGAGGAGGAGGGAGAGAAAGCGCTCCTCGTGGTTTGAGTCGTTCGGGCTTCTCGTCCTGGTGTGAGTCGTTCGGGCCCTTCTTCCTGGTGTGAGTCGTTCGGGCTCTTCGTGGTGTGAGTCGTTCGGGCTCTTCGTCCTGGTGTGAGTCGTTCGGGCTTCTCGTGGTGTGAGTTGTTCGGGCCCCTCGTCCTGGTGTGAGTCGTTCGGGCCCCTCCTCCTGCCCGTCCAGAAACGACGCCCAGGCGAGTAGAGGGTCGTCCTGATGGGCTTTTCGGCGTCTTGGGTGCCTCGGGGGGGCCTCTTTGGGCCGTTTGGGATCCTCTTGGGGGCCTCCTGGGGGCCTCTTGGGGCCATCTTGGGGCCTCTTGGTGCCTCCTGGGCGCTTCTTGGGGCCATCTTGGAGGAAATATATCAAAGAAGAGGGGAGCTTTAATTAGCGCTGCCCCCCCAGAAGGCCAAAATGGGGCCAAAACCATAGTAAAATCAATGATTTTGGCTTGAAAGAAGAGGGGAGCTTTAATTAGCGCTGCCCCCTCAGAAGGCCAAAATGGGGTCAACACAGTAGTAAAATCAATGATTTTGGCTTCAAAGAAGAGGGGAGCATTTTTTCTCCCTCCCCCCGTCGGGGCCAGAATCCTCGTGAGGGGTGTCGTTTTTTAGCCCTCCCAGGAGTCGAAAAAGACCCCGCTGACCACCCGCGGAAGGACCTCTCCAGGTCCAGGGGGAGGGGGTAGGGGGAGGGGTAAACCCCTCCCCGAAGGGGAAGAAGGGGGGTTGAGAACAGAGAGAGCTCCCTAAACCACTCACGCCCAAAGGGCTGGTGGGATTGGGGGTTGCTTGTGGGCGGCACGCCGTGACGGCCCTCGTCTGTGGCCGCGCCTCTAGTTGGCTGCTTCCTGGTCGTGGATTGGACTACCACCCCGGGCCTCATCCGCATCACCCGGTGGCGCAACGTTGCACATCGCCTTCGTGGTGCTCTCTTCCTCCTGGGCCTCCCCCGCATCATCTGGCGGCACAACGTTGCTCATCGCCTTCATGGTGCTCCTCTCCCTCCTGGACGTCGACCTGGTCAGATGGCACGTCCTCCTCTGCAGTGCTTGAGGCTGGCGTTCACGACGTGCCGTTGACGGCAACACCACATCGCTCAACCCCCGGGTCTTCGCCTCCGATCCATGTCCGCGGCGTACCGTCGGCACCGCCTGCACCGCCTGCGCCCCGGGCACCGCCCACTCCGGCCGACTGAGGCCCCGCCTGCTTGTGCCCTGTCTCCCTAATTAAAGCTGAACGTAGCCCGCCTAGCTTTTAGCGGAAGAGGTTCGCTCTCGCCCCGCCGACCTAACAGTGGGCGGCACGCCAAGGGGGAGAAGTGAGAAGAAGAGTCGCCTAGAGAGCCTGGAGTCCAGGGCCAAAGGGGGACACAGAATGTTACAAAAGCTTCCATATTCGATCCTGTTCGACCCGCGATGTTTGATTTCCTCTCTTTGTTCCCCCCTGCCCCTCTCCCCCGTTGATCCCACCCTCCAACCTCCCAGCCCGCTTCTCGGCGGGAAATGAGATGGATGAGGCCTCCGCAGGAGGCGGCAGGGCCTTTCACAAGCCTCCTGGCTTTCTTAGAGAAGTTATCCGTAAGGGTTTCGCCCCCTGCCGCCGGCCCCCTCTCTCGGAGAATGGGCCATGGAAGAGCTAAGTCATGAGGCTTTGGCGCTGTCGTGCAGCAGGACCGGAACTTCATGCGAGGCCGATTCGCAATCGGCAAAACCAACTGATCACAAGAGGGGTTACCACACAGGGCGATTGGTAAGACGTGTATGGTTTACGAGCTTGGTTACCACACCTTGGGATGAAAGGGCCGAAGGAGTACTCGCAGTTTGGGTTACCACGCCTTGCGATGGATGTGCGCGAGGGGTGGCACCGAATTTCAGAAATGTGGCAAATCCCATGTGTTTTTGGACCCTGACCCCGCGGATCTGCGTGAGGGGCGGCACCGAATTTCAAACATGTGGCAAATCCGTTGTGTTTTTGGACCCTGACCCCGCGGATCTGCGTGAGGGGTGGCACCGAATTTCAGAAATGTGGCAAATCCCTGTGTTTTTGGACCCTGACCCCGCGGATCTGCGTGAGGGGTGGCACCGAATTTCAGAAATGTGGCAAATCCCTTGTGTTTTTGGACCCTGACCCCGCGGATCTGCGTGAGGGGTGGCACCGAATTTCAAACATGTGGCAAATCCCTTGTGTTTTTGGACCCTGACCCCGCGGATCTGCGTGAGGGGTGGCACCGAATTTCAGAAATGTGGCAAATCCCATGTGTTTTTTGACCCTGACCCCGCGGATCTGCGTGAGGGGTGGCACCGAATTTCAGAAATGTGGCAAATCCCATGTGTTTTTGGACCCTGACCCCGCGGATCTGCGTGAGGGGTGGCACCGAATTTCAGAAATGAAGCAAATCCCGTGTGTTTTTGAACCCTGACCCCGCGGATCTGCGTGAGGGGTGGCACCGAATTTCAGAAATGTAGCAAATTCCTTGTGTTTTTGGACCCTGACCCCGCTGATCTGCATGAGGGGTGGCACCGAATTTCAGAAATGTGGCAAATCCCATGTGCTTTTGGACCCAGACCCCGCGGATCTGCGTGAGGGGTGTCGATTTCGAGCCCCCCCAGCAATTCAGACAACGCGCCCAGGGGGTGCTAAAAGTCCCGTTTGGGCCTTCCCCCCCCTCGCGCGGTCAGTCAAATCGTTACAGTAACCAGCAAGAAACAGAACTGTAACACTGAAAACTACAAGCTACAACTGGTACTGGAAGCTGCGAACCCGCGCCTACAGCCTGGTGGCCCCACAAGGGGGCCGGCGGATTGTGTGTCTTCGCGGAAGGCCCAAACGATTTCTCAGAAGGCCCGAGGCCTTCGAGCTTTCTGAGAAGGCCCGCCCTTTCTCGTTTTTCCCCTGGGCTCGTCGCCGAGCATGAAGGCAGAGTTTTGAAGCTTTCGGCGGCTGAAGTGCCCGCGAGTCGTTTCGCCCGTCTACCTGCACCTCCTGGGACCCCAATGTGGGAGGATTGGATCGAGCCGAGACGACCGTTGCGATAGTTGTTTTCTCATGTCGCCCACCACGCAACTTCCAGCGACACGAGGGAGTTGCGAACGCCAAAAAAGAGGTACCCTCCCGCCCTGGGCGGGGTCCCCGTCGTTTTCCTCCTCATCCCTCCTCCTCCTCCTCGTTGTCCTCCTCTTTCTCATCCTCCTCCTCTTTTTTGTTATCTTGTTCGTTTTTCTCCTCTTTCTCGTTTTCGTCCTCCTCCTCCTCGTCCTCCTGCTCGTCCTCCTCTTCCTGCTCCTCCTCCTCGTCCTCCACGGGTGGGGCCCCCTGCCCCCGAGGACGGGGTCGCGGAGTCGCAGGAGCAGACGCTGTTTTCCGCCGTGCCCTCTGGGCCCGGCACGCTCGACGCGATGGCGCCGTGGCATTGCGAGGCCCCCTTGGGCGCCGCCTCCCCTCGGGTGTCGCGGGCCGCGAGAGGTGCCCCACGAGAGAGGCGATCGTGCCGCTACCGCTGCCCTTCTCGAGGAGAAGAAAGCTGCACACAGTCGTGGCGCCGAAGAACGAGCCCTTTTCGTTGGGGAGGGGCTCGGTGTTCTTGGATTGTTTTACAGTTTGCCTTACAGAAGTTTTCCCATTGGAAATCGAAGGTTAACTCGTGAGAAGAAAAAGGGGCCTCGCTCCTTAGGTCAACGCCCCGACGGTAAGCGCAAACTCCTCAATGTTCCGCGCGGATTGCTCGGATCGGCGCTGGGCCCCCTGGCGGCGCCTTTGGCGCCACCCCTGGCGCGCTCCCTTGCGCCAGGGGGGAGGGTCCAGCACAGATCCAAGAACTCCGCGCGGACCGTCGAGCATTTCTGTTTACGCAATTTTGTCCTCCTCTCTGCCTTCCCTCGTCTCGATGATCCTCAAGACGCGTGTCAGCCCACTGTGTGCTCACCCCGTTCAGCTCCACCTGCAGCACGAAGCCCGTGCTGGCCTTTCCTCAACGCCGCTTGCGCCGTGCCGAGGGGCGTCTGTGGGCAGGTGCACGTTGGCGCTGGCACGCGTTCGGAGGATCATCGGTCGTTGCCCCAGCTGGATTCGCCTCGAAATCCTGGTCAGGGCTCACCCTCGGAGTGCTCTGGGGAGCAGCGGTATCGGCACCTCGGTGCCGTTCTGTCCCCCCAGTCCCTGGCCCGAGGTGCCCCCCAGGATTTCCAGGGGGGCCCCCGGCGGTCTCAAGCAGAGCACCTCTTGCGGGGGGCCTCGGGGGCCCTGGGGGCTCCGGGGTGGGGCGAACGGCGGGGGACGCCTCCGGCCCATCGGCGCCTTCAGTATCCCCCGATCCTCTTGTTCTCGGCATGGGGAGAATCTACGCCTCCTAGATGGGGTCGGAGTAGATGGGGTCGGAGAACCACATCGCTGATGCGGCTCGATGTGGAGCCCACTTTTCTCCACGCCGACGTCGCCGATGCATCGCCGACGCCGCCGGTGGATCGCCGATGCATCGCCGATGCGTCGGCGATGCATCGCCGATGTATCGGCGACGCGGCGAGATCCTCCGACCCCACCCACTCGGACCCCATGCAGGAGGCCTCCGGAGCACCGGGCCACCCTGCGGGGGCGCGAAGATCATCGTGCGTCGCGCCTCTGGCTCCAGGCGCGAGCGGCGCGAATGGCGCATCCCGGGTGCGCGCGGCGGCGCCGTGGGCCAGGCGCCGGCGCTCGCACCCTGGGCGCTGCTGGCCTGCGAGATGCGAAAGCCGCAGGGCTCAGTGCGCGAGGATTGGTGGCGCAGGGACAGGGGATCGCGAGGGATCGGGGATCGAGATACTCCAATATTTCGGTGAGTGGTCGAACGGCGTGGGGATTTGTCCGAGGCGCCGAAAGCTTCCAGAGGTCTCCAGAAGCCTCCGAGACCGCGAGGGAAATGCTTGTCGGCCTCCTGGGGCTCTTATGGGCCGCGGGACCGCCAAAGAGCGATCCAGAGGGAAGAACCAGTCAGGATGCAGAACTGGTCCCAGGGAACTCTCCGGTGTCCAGAACTCATGTCCTTCAGCACTCGTTTCACGCCGGAGAAATTTGAGACTCGAGTTCGGCGAAGCTCGGGCTTGCCGACGCTTTTTGGCGGGCCCGTCCTGAATTTTGACGGTCCAGGTTCTGCGGGATGTTTGCACCTGTAGTTCGCGTCAAATCCGCCGGCCCCCTTGTGGGGCCACCAGGCTGTAGGCGCGAGGTTCGCAGTTTCCTGTACCAGTTGTAGCTTGTAGTTTCCAGTGTTACAGTTCTGCTTCTTGCTGGTTACTGTAACTAGTTGACTGACCGCGCGAGGGGGGGGAGGCCCAAACCAGATTTTTAGCGTCTCCTGGGCGCGTTGTCTGAATTGCTGGGGGGGCTCGAAATCGACACCCCTTACGCAGATCCGCGGGGTCAGGGTCCAAAAACACATTGGATTTGCCACATTTCTGAAATTCGGTGCCACCCCTCACGCAGATCCAAGGGTTAGGGTCCAAAAACACATGGGATTTGCTACATTTCTGAAATTCGGTGCCACCCCTCACGCAGATCCGCGGGGTCAGGGTCCAAAAACACATGGGATTTGCCACATTTCTGAAATTCGGTGCCACCCCTCACGCAGATCCGCGGGGTCAGGGTCCAAAAACACATGGGATTTGCCACATTTCTGAAATTCGGTGCCACCCCTCACGCAGATCCGCGGGGTCAGGGTCCAAAAACACAGGGGATTTGCCACATTTCTGAAATTCGGTGCCACCCTTCACGCACATCCATCGCAAGGCGTGGTAACCCAAACTGCGAGAACTCCCTCGGCCCTTTAATCGCAAGGTGTGGTAACCAAGCCCGTAAACCATACACGTCTTACCAATCGCCAGGTGTGGTAACCCCTCTTGTGATCAGTTGGTTTTGCTGATTGCGAATCGGCTTCGCATGAAGTTTCGATACTGCTTCACGACAGCGCCAAGGCCTCATGACTTAGCTCTTCCATGGCCCATTCTCCGAGAGAGGGGGCCGGCGGCAGGGGGCGAAGCCCTTACGGATTTCACATTTGGTCTCCATTTTCCTGACGGCCCCGTCAGGCCAACCCGAGTCCCTCGAATTTGAGTCTTACGTTTCCTCGATCACCGCAATCTTCGTCGCTTCCGGTGGGCCTTCGGGGAGTCCTCTGTCGTCACTGCTGCCTTCGCCGCGGACTCTGGTGTGGGAGCGCGCTCCCCGTGAGGTCGGGCCGGGGCGTCAGAGGAGATCTTCCCCGCTCTGTTCCTCCAGTGCCCAAGCGTTCCCGCAGTCTCTCCGCGTCTGGCCGTACCCAGGCGTTCGCCCTGATATTCGACGGTTGCGCGAGGTTTCCTCATCTCCCTGCTCCTCCCACGCCTCCAGGGCCCGGGTGTTGCCTGCCAGGCGAAGTCCCGAGTCTTCATCATGCTCCTCCTGATTTTGCTCCGCGTCCTCGCCTTTTCCGCCATCTCCGATGCTGCGTGCACGCATAAACGGCTGGATGCAGCTCACGGGTGGCCAGGCGCTCAAGAGTCTCATCCGTTTTGAACGGCTATCCGGTTACCCCTCGGCACGTTCTGCCACGGTGTCAGCGCAGCATTGTGTGTGTGTGGTGAGTGTGTGTGTGTGTGTGTGCGTGTGTGTGTGCGTACGTGCGTGCGTGCGTGCGTGCTTGCGTGCGTGCGTGCGTGTGTGTATGTGTGTTTGTGTGTGTGTGCGCGTGTATGCGTGCGTGTGTATGTGCATGTGTATCTGTGTGTGTGTGAATGTGTGTGTGTGTGTGTGCGTGCGTGCGTGCGTGCGTGCGTGCGTGCGTGCGTGCGCGCGTGCGTGCGTGTGTGTCTGTGTGTGTGGTTGTGTGTGTGTGTGGCGACACTTCGAGCACAGCCTAGAAATCCGTAGCATGTCTCACCTCGAGGGGCTCTTGTGATGCCTATCTGTTCGTCTTAGGTCTTTCTTGGGCCCTTGTACGGCCGTCTTGGGGTCCTATGGGGACCAGCTTTGGCCGTCTGCGGCACTTCTTGGTCGTCTGGAGAGTCTCGATGCGCTTCATTTGGACCCTCTTGGGACCGTCGTGGGGCTGTCTTGGGCATGCTCCACCGTGTGGGGGCCAGCGACAGGTGGCGGGGGAGACCGCGGCAAGTGTGCGGCCTTGAGCGGGGATGCTCCGAACTCGATCCTGCCAGGAAAGGGTGGCCGAGGATGAGCAGCAGCAGGAGGAACAGAACGAGGCCGAGGCATGGCAGGGAGAAGAGGGAGGGACTGGAACAAGGGGGAAGAGAGGAGGAAGGAGGGGATGAGAGGCGAAGGAAAAGTGGAAATGAAGAGGGAAGAGCTTGGGGGTAGAGAGGCGGGGTGAAGGAGCATGGCCCAGTGTAAGGGCGACAGCGACGACGAGGATGATCGGGAGGAGAGGGAGGAAGAGTAGCTCAAGCGGATTGGGAGGAGGGGCTTCAATGGGAGGAGGGCCAGAGTGGAGGGGGGTGGAGGAGTTGGGTGGTGTGGAGGTGTAGAGGAGAAGTTCGTGGATGTGGAGGTGGAGAAGCGGAGGGAGGAGGGAGGCGAAGAGGTGTAGAGAGAGAGAGAGAAGACAATGGCGAGCACCACGAAGATGGAGGCGAAAGGAGGACGGCAAGAAGCGTGGCCGAGGGCAGTGGAGGAGGAGGAGGAGCAGGCGGAAACGCGAGAGATGGAGGAAGACGAGCACGAGCAGGCGATGGAGCAGCAGCAGCAGCAGGCCGACGACGACCATGGCGTCCACGACGATGACGACAACGGTCGGCGTCCGAAGCCGCCGCGTCTTCTCGAGGGCGAGGCCCTCGAAGCACCCCCGCTGAAGGGCCACCGCAGCGCCGCCCGCGCGAGCGGCACTCGTCTGCTTGGAGCCGGCCAGGGGGCTGAGGTGGGACATCACTGGCTCCAACCTCTGTCGCCATGGGGAAACCGGTCCCGAGGGGCACGGGTCCTGAAGTTTTTCGCCATTTTCGGGCTCTCGGGGCCCTCCACGAGCCCCGGGACTGTCAGACAACGACTCAGCATGAAGGACTCGTCTCGCGGGAAGGCACCAGGGTCCAGGACCCGTTTCCCTCGGGACCCGTGTCCCCCATGCGAACATCATTGGCTCCAGCCTCTGGAGAGGGGGGAGAGGCACCACTGTACCCCTCTGGTGCCGCCTTCTCCGCGTGGCCATCCGATGCCGCATTCGCCCCATCTCCCCTCCTGACCGGCTCTGCTGGTGACCACCCAGAGAGAGCAGACCCCCCGTCCGCCTCCAGCACTCAGCGGCACAGGACGGCGGCGACGGCGACGACGACCCGCGCCTCCGAAGCCGCCGACTTTGGTGCGGTGCCATCTTGACACGGCGTGCTATGGCATGAACATAAACTGGATGGTGCGGGAAGAGCAGCAGTGTTTCACCACGGCCGTGGCCGAGGTGAAAAGAGCAGACGCGAAGCGGCCGCCCTCCCCTCGGCCCTCGGCGCAGCCCCCGCCCCCGAGGACGAGGCCCGCGGAACAGCCCCGCCGGTGGCGACCGCGGCGCCGCCAGCGCGGACGGCGCCCTCCGCCCTGTCGCCTGGGCCCTTGAACGGAGTGGCGCTGTCGCCGTTGTCCTGCGAGGAGCCGGGGTGCCGCCGCCCGCACACCTTTTCGGAGGAGGAGGACCCGGAGAGGCTGGCGTTGCGCAATGTTTCCCGGTGTCGGGCCCTGGGACCCGCGCAGATCGATCCGGCTCGAAAAATGACGCAGAAACTTGGGGTCTGGGGCTCTGGTCGTGATTGTTCGCGATGTTGCAATTTCTCGCAACGTCAGATCTCATGGGGGCGAGGAAGAGATGCCGTTACCGCTGGTCGTCCTGGAGAACCCTCGTCGCCACGGAAGGCTGGGGTCTCCTCGAAGTCCTAGCCAGAACGCACCCCAGGAGAGGGCCGTGGAGTAGTGGTAGTGGCACCTTGAATGGGCTGGCGCTGTCGTTTTGCGTCCTGAGAGGAGCCGGTATGCCATCTGCCCCCACAGATCTCTGGCGATGTTGTCCTTGTTCGATCCCGGCGTGCTTATCCTCGGTGCCAGCCTTTGGCCTTTGGGGCCCGTCCTCGGAAGTCCCGGGGCCATGAGAATTGGACTCGGCAAGCAGAGCTACCCCCAGGGGCGGGGTCGGGGCATCTCGGGCCCGAGGACAGGACAGATCAAGTCGTCGGATGTCTGGGCCCCTCGGCTTCGACGCTCAGGGGCGGCGTCGGGGAGGGGGTAGGCTCTGGGGAAGATGCGGCAGCCCAGAGTCGCCCATTCGTTGTCGACTAGGGGCCCGATGGCCCCGACCCGCCGGGGAAGATGCGGATGCGCTCCTGGGGGCCTCTTGCTGATTTCTTATCGGCGATCTGTCGCCGACTCCGAGGCGATGCTTCCCCCCTCAGCCCGGTCCCCTCCTGCCATTCCCCATCTGCAGGATATTTCTCCCGTTTTCCTGGCCTGCCAGGCCGCCCCTGGGACCATGTTCCACCGTCGTTTCGAATGTGACTTTCATGATGTTTGGAGGATCAGCCCTGACGTTCGCAGGGCGGCGGATCGAGTCAAGTTGCTCTCTCCCAAGGCTCAGGAGCTCTTTGCCCGCTGTGCCCTTCCCGACCCCACCTGTTGGTTCGCCCGTCTCACCGAGCCCCCCGAGGCCACTGCGTATAGGTACAATTGGCCTGCCGAGGGGTTGACCTTAGGTGATGGGAGCCACATCTTTATCGATGGCTCGTGCTTCGAGCCAGCACTCCCAAGGATCAGATCGGCGGGGTGGGGAGTTGTGGTGACGGACGGCGGGGGAAGGGTGGACCGTGCGATTTGGGGGCGCGTGCCCTTTTGTGTTGCTCCAGCCCAGGCAGCTCGGGATGGCGAGGACTATGCTGTGCTATCGCTGGTGCGCCATGCTGCTGTCTTCCCTGGGGCCTGTCTCTTCGGGGACAATTCGGGCACTTTCGGGTATGTCCAGGACCCTTTAGGTGCTGTCAACCCAGATCATGCTCGGTCTCACTTGTGGCAGCACGTGCACGATAAAGTTGGATGGCGTCTCGTGGTGCAATGTCCCCGCCCATTGCATCATGCGAGATGTTGATGATGGGAAGCTCAGTATGATCGAATACTGATCGAGCGGCTGCTGAGTTTGCAAAAAGGAGCCGCTCTTGGTAGGACCCCCGACCCCGATAGGCTTGTTGTCGAAGGGTGCCATGAGTTGGCCCGTCTGTTGTGTAAGTTTCGGCGGAGCAGGAGGCTCGGATTGGCGACCGACAGGAGTTTGATCATGTCGGCCTCGAGTGGCTCCGTCACATCTCCCTTGACCTCCCTCCTCTCCCTGAGGTTGCTCCTCCTTCTCCCCCTAGCTCTGGGCGGGGGACGGGGTCGGAGCTCGGGGGTGGGGTGAGGGACACGGATGCGGCCGCTCCTGTCGAGTGGCCAGAGCTTTCGGTCTGGCCCGCCCTGGGACATGCGGTCATTGAGGCGCAGGTTCAAGATTCGGAAGGACACGATCGGGGTTCGATCGCTTTCTGCACGACCTGTGGCTCGGTATGCACTGTAGGAGGACACCGGGGAATGACAGCTCTCGCGTCGGAGTGTGTTGGGCACCGCTCGTCGGACCGAGAGCGGCAATTGGCTTGGATTGCGCAAGGCCGCCACCCGTCCAAGAGTAGTTTTCTTGTGTCCCGAGCGTCCGTATTGTCGGACCCCGCTCGAGACTTCTTGGCGTCTAAGATGTCTCTCGACGCTGGTCTGCTCGCGCCGCCGCCGTCCAGAGGCTGCCTGGCTGCCTCTTTTCGGGGGAGGGTGGGGGCGGCGTGGTGGGCGGGCACTGGGGTCAACCTTCATCGTGGCCTGTCTCTTTTCGGGTTCCGTTCTCGGGAGGAGGCTGAGTCTCTCGGTCTTCGTGCGCGGGAGCGCCGACGGCAGGTTGTGCCGCCCGAGGAGGATATCGGCCCCTTCTAGCTCGTTGGAGTTCGTCTGCCCTTCGATGCATGTTTAATGTGGTGGCGCCTTTCCCGCCGCTGCCGAGCTCCTCCTCCTCGTCCTCCTCGTCCTCCACCTCCTTCCCTCCTCCAACTCGTGGTGGTGGTGGTGGAAAACAGGCCCATTCCCCGTCGACCAGGCAACGAGAGGGAAGGGCCAGCGGGCATGCCTTCTCAAAGGGCGGCGGGGTTTCGCAGCAGCCCTCGGGCCCTCCCTGAGGAGCTCTCTGCGGCCTCGGAGGACCCCTCGGAGCTTCTGAGCCCTCTGAGGAGGCCCGGCCCCTCTGCCTTCCCTCGCGCGGCGCGCCGCCGATCGCCTGAGAGAAGCGGCGGAGGAAGGGGGAGAGCGAGGGCGACGGCGGCGGTGGCGGCGACACCCCGCGGCCGCCCCATGAGGAGTGACGCTGCGAACAAAGTGCGCACATCGCGAGAACTCACTACCGGGGCCCAATGGACCGCATACCTTTTTGCGTCTTCTCCCGAGCTGGGCCGATCTTCGAGGGCCCCCTGGGGCCCGACACTGGGGTAGAACGCCCGGTGCGAACACAGGTGCAGCGCCAAGGTCTCGAGCGCCGCCGCGCCCTCGCCGGCAAAGCGGATCCCCGAGGACGGGGCCGCCGACGAGCTCCCGCCTGAGGCGGCCGCGGCGCACCCCTCGCCGCCGCCCCCGCTCTGCGAGGCACTGCGCGCCGCCCCCGGTGCCGCCGAGCTGCCGCCGCCACCTCGCCGCCGCGCCGCCGCGCCGCGGGAAGGGGGGCAGCTGGAGTCGAAGAGGAAAAAGACAGCATACACATAATTGTTTGGCGCTCCGCGCGGATCTCTTGGATCCGCGCTGGGCCCCCCCGGCGGCGCCTCCGGCGCCGCCCCTGGCGCGCTCCGCGCGCCGGGGAGGGGGGTCCAGCGTAGATGCAAGAAATCTGCGCGGAGCGCCAGAAGCTTATGTTTATGCCGTCGTTGTTCTTTTTCTATGGACGAGAGGACCCAGAGATCAGACTCTTGGCTTCCTAGATTGGGTCTGAGCAGATGTGGTCGGAGGACCGCGCCGCATCGCCGATGCATCGGCAATGCGGCTCGATGTTGAGCCCGACTGTCTCCACGCCAACGACGCCGATGCATCGCCGACGTCGCCGATGAATTGCCGATGCAACGGCGATGCATCGCCGATGTATCGGCGATGCAGCGCGATCCTCCGACCACATCTATTCGGACCTCATCTAATGAGGAAGCCTCGATGGCTGGAAGAGGGGACCAAGAGGTCCGACGCTCCCAAAATTAGCAGACGAAGGGCGGTATAAGGCAAACTTTTCCGCTGTTGAGGACGCCTGCCTCACGGCGGCTGGAAAGTTTGTACCTCGCGGTGGCACGTCGGGGTATAAGCTTGCCAGCCGCCGTGGCACAGGCGTCCCCGATGGCGGAGAAGTATGTTTTGTACCTTTCTTCGTAGGTTATCCACAACAATGGAGTGCCAGGTTTTCGGACGTTTTCGGCCTCCGGGGGCTCTCGCCGCCGGGCCTCGGGTCCGTCAGGAAACGATTTGGGGCGAAAAGCCAGCCCTAGGAAAGTGGTCCAGAACTCTGGGTGCCCGCGTATCTAAGATTATGTAGCCTGGCGAAGAACCCAACTACATGAAGTTGTGATTACCGCAATCGCGAGTACCGTCTGAGGTGGAATTCCCTACAGGGTAACGCCGGCATGCGGGCTGTGTCGCTGGGGCCTTCGGTGGAGCTCCCTGTGGAGCCACGAAACGTGTAAGGGGTGTGCCGAAACGGGGGTGTCGCCCACATACGGGCTGCGCCACTGGGACCGCAGGTGGAGCTCCCTGTGGGGCCAGGAAACGTGTGAGGGGTGTGCCGAAACGGGGGTGGCGCCAAAATGCGGGCTGCGCCACTGGGGCCAAAAGTGGAGCTCCCTGTGTGGCCACGAAACGAGTGAGGGGTGTGCCGAAACGGGGGTGGCGCCCACATACGGGCTGCGCCACTGGGACCGTAGGTGGAGCTCCCTGTGGGGCCAGGAAACGTGTGAGGGGCGTGCCGAAACGGGGGTGGCGCCAAAATGCGGGCTGCGGCACTGGGGCCTTACCTGGAGCTCCGTGTGGGGCCACGAAACGTGTGATGGGGCGTGCCGAAACGGGGATGGCGCCCACATGCGGGCTGCGCCAAGGGGACCTTAATTAGGCGGGGCTCCCTATGGAGCCACGAAACGTGTAACGGGTGTCCCGACACGGATGTGGCGCCCTAATGCGGGTTGCGCCAATGGAACTTTGGGCGGAGTTCTTCGTGGGGCCACGAAAAGTGTGAGGGGTGTGCCAAAATGGGAGTGGCGCCCACATGCGGGCAGCGCCAATGGGACCTCAGGCGGGGCTCCCTGTGGGGCCACGAAACGTGTGAAGGGTGTGCCGAAACGGGAGTGATGACGATGATGGTGATGATGACAGTGATTAATTTGATAATGATGATGATGCTGATGATGATGATGTTTATCTTTATGTTGATGTTGATGTTGATGATGGTGGTGATGGTGATGGTGATGATGATGACGACGATGATGATGCTGATGATGCAGATGGTTATGATGATGATGGTGATGATGATGATGATGTGATGCTGATAATGATGATGATGAGGGTGATGAGGGTGATGCTGATGATGGTGATGCTGATGATGACTATAGCGGTGAGGATGACGATGATTATGATGATGGTGATGGTGATGGTGATGATTGTGGTGGTGATGCTGATGATGGTGATGGTGATGATGATGATGTTGATGTTTATGATGCTGATGCTGATGCTGATGCTGATGATGGTTGCAATGATGGTGCTGATGATGACAGTGATGATGCTGCTGATGATGATGGTGATGATGCTGATGCTGGTGATGCTGATGATGATGATGACGATGCTGATAATGATGCTGAGGATGGTGATGATGATACTGGTAATGACTATGATGATGCTGATGATGATGGTGCTGTTGGCAATGATGATGATGATGCTGCTGATGATGGTGGTGGAGGAAGAGGTGATGATGATGATGATGATGACGGCGACGATGGTTGATGACGATGATCATGCTTATGATCATGATGATGATTATGATGCTGATACTGATGGTGATGATGATGGTGGCGATGAGGATGAGGATGATGAGGAGGATGATGATGATGATCATGATGATGATGATGATGATGATGATGATGATGATCATGATCATGATCATGATGATGATGATATGATGCTGATGCTGATGCATATGCTGATGAGGATGAGGATGATAATGAGGATGCTAAGGATGATGATGATGATGATGATGATGATGCTGATGATGCTGATGATGATGATGATGCTGATGCTGATGCTGATTCTGATGCTGCTGATGATGATGATGATGATGATGATGATGATGATGGTGATGATGATGATGATGATGATGATGATGATGATGATGATGATGATGATGAGAGGAGGGAGCGAGGGGGCAGTGGGAGGAGTAGGAGATGACGCGCGGCGCTGTCTTCTCAAAACGAGGGCCCAAAACCACAGGATGGTTGGGAAAATGGGGCAGCCAGATGTCTGGGGAATCCTGAGATTTGGGCGTCGCATTTTTGTTTGCACAGAGCGTTTTCGCGCGATGTCGGTTCCTAAGGTCATCACATATCGATCTGGCCAGAAAGGTGCGGCCTGAGATCCAGGCGTCATGTTTTGTTTCGCATCGGGCGGTTTCTCGCGACGTCTGTCCCCAGAGCCGTCACAGACGAACCGGCCGGAACAGTGTGGCAGAAAGATGAGGTCGAGAGTTCAGGTTGTTGATTTTCGCAATGTTGCAGTTTTTTCGCAACGTCGGGTTTGAGGGTAGAGTTGCTGGAGGAGGGGGGGATGGGGAAGCGAGGAGGGGAAGGAGGAGGGGGATTAGGAGGATTGCGCAGGAGACGAATGAGGAAGAAACAGGAGCTGGGAAGACGAGGAGCAGGAACAGGAGGTGCCCGGAGAGGGAAGAGAGTGAGGGCGGCACGGCGACGACGGAGACGGCCGACGGCGACAGCGACGACCAGCTTCTGCAGTGCCCGCTCTTGCTCGTCGTCGCCCTCCCTCCTGTACGAGTTCACTTGGGGAACGGAAAGTTACATAAACATAAAACAATCGGAGGTCCGCGCGGATTTCTTGGATCCGCTCTGGAGCCCCCTCCCTGCCGCGCGGAGCGCGCCAGGGGCGGCGGCGGAGGCGCCGACAGGGGGGTCCAGCGCGGATCCGAGAAATTCGCGCAGACCTCCGAGTTTTGATGTTTATGCCATGGTTTGTTCCCCTGTTCACGCTCATGAGCCACAGAAATCCAAAGTGCATCTCTGGCTCCAGCCGGGCCGCCGGGCTCGCGGAGGGCCGTCCTCCTCCTCCTCCTCCTCCTCCTCCTCTCCTCCTCCTCCTCCTCCTCCTCCTCCTCCTCCTCCTCCTCCTCCGCCTCCTCCTCGCCCTCCTCCTCCTCCTCCTCCTCGCCCTCCTCCTTTTCTGGGCGCAGGTCGGCGCCCCTCGCCTCGGCTCGCCTCGGCCGCAGAAGATCTGTTCTTTTAGCCCCGAGAGGACGGGGCCGCCACCGCAGCGCCGCCGGAGGCGGCCGCTGCCGGGGCGCTGGCGCCGTCGGAGGCCATCGGCCACGCGCAGAAGGGGGAGGGGGAGGGGGAGGGGAGGAGGAGGAGGAGGAGGAGGAGGAGGAGGAGGAGGAGGAGGAGGAGGAGGAGGAGGAGGTTCTCGCTGCATGGAAGGAGGAGAAGGAGGAGGAGGAGGAGGAGGAGGAGGAGGACGAAGAATAGAAGGAGGAGGGAGGTAGTTCCCATGCCCCCTCCCCAGACTTGGCGGCGAGCAGATGGGGGTAGGGGGAGGGGGGAAGGCTTCTTAGAAGCACCCCTGGTTCTCAGAAGGCGCGGACCTCATCTCCAGATGTAAGGCCGGCGCCTTGTAAGAAGCAGCCTCCTTTTGAGAAGCCCTCCCCCCTCCCCCTGCGCCGCCAAGGCTGACGCACCCGCCGCCGATGTGTTCCCGGGCTGCGGGGCGCTGCCGCTGTCGCTGTCCCTCCACGAGGACGCGGATGCCGCCGCCCTCGAGCAGCAATGAGCTAATTACGATGAGATTGCCCGGGTACGTACCCACACCAGCAGCATCAAGTGGCAGCATCAGCGGGCCCATCAGATATAGGTTGATCCCGACCTGCATTCAAGAATCACCCCCTTCTTCGGTGACCTGGACGTGGTACTCTGCACGTTGACCTCTCTGGCACGTCAGGGTTGTTGAGGATCCCAATGAGGTTCAGGAATCCAGATGGGTCGTCAATCGGATTCCAATCGGATTCCAAAAGGGTTCCAATTACATTCCGATAGGGTTCCTACGGGTCCCAGAAAGATTCCAATCCAATTCCAATCAGGAGTTCAATATTGGATTACAATGCAATTCCAATCGAGTCTCAATCGGATTACATCGGACTCCAATCGGATTCCAATGAAATCCCCAAAGGATTCCTGACGGATTCCAGTAAGATTCCAAGTAGATCCCAATCGGTTCCCAATAGGACTCCAATCGAATTCCACCAATAAGATCTCAGTAATATCCAATCGTATTTCAATTGGAGTTCCAACTGAATTCTAGTCAGGTCCTAGTCTGATTTCAATCGGATTCGTAAGGGTTCCATTCGGATTCCAATTATTGACGCTTCGCGTACCTCAACCAGTCCATCCAGATACGATCGGAGGTGTTCTTGTGGCCTCTTGGAGGCTATCTGGAGCCATGTTCGGTTAGAGGCTGTCAGAGGCTATCCCTAGCCATGCTGAGCTATCTTGGACCTTTTTGTCGCTGCCTGGAGGCCTCTTGGAGGTCTGTGGGAGGCTATCCTGAGCCATGTTTGACCTCCTGGGACCAACTTGGGGGTAGGAGGAGGAGGGGGAAGAGGAGGAGGAGGAGGAGGAGGAGGAGGAGGAGGAGGAATGCGGTATGAAGAAGATGAGGAGGGGGGAGGAGGAAGGGAGGAGGAGGAGGAGGAGGAGGAGGAGGAGGGGGAAGGCAGGAAGGGAGGAGGGAAGGAACGGGCGATGACAAGGAGGATGAGAAGTCGGGCTTTGGAGGTATGTTGTCGTGAGAGGTTCTTGAAGGACGACGAAGGCCATCTGAGGGGCTCTCTTAGGGCCCCCATTGAGCCTCTTGGGGCACTCGTGGGGCCCTCTGGGGGCTCATGTTTGGGGTCTTGAAGCCCCCTTGGGGCTCCTTGGAGGGGTCTGGGAGGCCTCTTGGGATCCATAGCTCAAACAAAGGGAGCCCCCCCTCGGAGGCTCAAAAACGGAGGCTCAAAAATGGCGTCGTGGTTTCCTCTTGTGCCACTCTTGGAGCGCTCTTGGGCGCTCTTGGGGCCCTCTGGGAGCCTTCTTAGACCCTTGGGGCCACCTGGAGGCCTCCGAGGCCCATCGGAAGCGAAAAGGCGAGACGGCACATCACATTGGTTTACACTTCTATGCTTCTGAAGGATTCCGGCCTCGTAGAGAGTGCTTAGGAAGGCTCGAACGGCACTGGAAACCGTCTTGGGGCCGTCTTGAGGCGTCTTCGAGGCATGTCGCGAAGCTTACCTTGAGCCATATTCGGTTATCTTGAGCCAGCTTGGAAGCGAGCTTGAGCTCTCGGGTGCCCTCTTGGAGACATATTGGGCCATCTTGGACGTTCTAACCCTTCCGTCCCCCCAACCCCATCCAAGGCGCAGGGGAGGCAGCAGGAGAAGGAGGGTTGTGGGACAGGAGAAGACAAGGTTCGTTGAACCACCTGCGCCCAGAGGGCTGGTGGGATTAGATCCCAATTGCATGCCAATCAGATCTCAATCGGACTCCAGGACTCCATCGGATTCCACGTGGGTTTCAGTCGGATTCTGGATCATCCGTCCTGTCCTCCCCCCCGTGCGGCTGGGGCTGCAGCTGGGGCTCGGGCTTGGGTTCGTGCTCGGTCCTTGGCTCTTGCACGGGCCGGGCCTCATCCTCCCTCTTCCATGGCCCCCTGATCGCCAGCGATGGTCCTCCAGCGGGTGGCGGAGGCAATATCTCCACGGCGTGGGCCCTCTTCCTCTCTTCTTCCATCTTCGATCCTCCTGCCTCCTCCCTCGCCCCCCTCCCCCCACGTCCTCTTCCGTCTCCGCTGTTCTACCCCTTCTCTCTCTCTCTCTTGCCTGTCCCTTTCTCTCATCCTCCCCATCTTTTTGTCGCTCGTCTCTCCTCCCCCTCGCCGTCCTCTGCTTCCATCCCCCCCTCCACGAGCCCGCCGCTCCCCCCCCCAGAGGCCCCTGGAGGCCCCCGGAGGCGTCAGCCATGCCCAGAGCCTTGGCGCAGACATCGGGCCTTTCGATCGTTCGACCCTCGGCGCCCCGAGGACGAGCTCGATCCACGGGGCCGCCCGCGATCCTCGGCGTCGGTGCCCTCCGAGGCCTTCGATCCCCGGTGGCGGCTCCCCCGCAGGGCGGGAGGCGCACGCGAGAGGGTCCCTGCGGACCAGGCCACGGCGCGGCAGCTCGCCGCAGCCCCCCCGCAGGGGCCTCCCCCTCCCCCCCCCCCTCACGACGACGACCTCTCGCGGAGCGGCGGCCCCTCCCCACGACAAGCCCGGCGGCCCACCCCACGCACGACGGCCCAGACGCTCCCCTGACGACCGATGCCCTTCGCCCCTCGCCCCCTCTCCTCCTGCCCCTCCTCCTCCTCGTCCTCCTCTTCTTCCTCCTCCTGCTTGGGGCATAATGGGCAGTATAGCCCCCGCCCCCCCTTCCGCCCCCCTAAGAACGTAACGCCCCTCCCACCCCCCCAGTGCGCTCTGGGCATTGCCATTGCCGCGGTGCGCATCGGGATCCCCATCGGCGCCCGCAGAGGAATCCGCAGAGGAGGAGGAGGAGGAGGAGGAGGAGGAGGAGGAGGAGGAGAGAGAAGCGAAGAACTTCGCATTCTATCATCAGCCCTTTCCTGGCGTGGCGTTTAGCCGTCCGCAGCAGATCCTCACCTACATGCTCGTTCTACCTGTCCTGTGCACGCAAGCACTGTGTTGTACACCAGCGCTGCGTACAAGCAGATACTGTGGTGTAGACAGGCGCTGTGGTGTGCACAGGCGCTGCGGTGCACGCAAGCATTGTGGTGTACACAGGCGCTGTGTAGCACAGGGTTGCTGCGGTACACCGGCGCTGTTGTGCACGCTAGCATTGTGGGATACACAGGCGCTGCGTCGCAGATGGCTGTTGCGGTGTACGCAAGCGCTGTGGCGTACACGCGCGCTGTGGTGCACGCGAGCATTGTGGTATACACAGGCGCTGTGAGGCAGGTCGCCACCTACACGCTGCTCGCGTCATCGTCGTCGTCGTCGTCGTCGTCGTCGTCGCCGCTCGTCGCTCGTCGCTCATCGTCGTCGTGCGCGCGGTCGCGGCTGTGGTGCAGGAGCCACACGGCGGGGGGGAGGCATTACATTATACCCCCCCAGCCCCCCCACTCCCCCCCTATAATGCCCAATATCGCCGAAAAGAAGCAAACGCGCTCCTGCTCCTCCTCCTCCTCCTGCTCCTCCTCATCCTCCTCCTCGTCGTCGTCCTCCTTCTCGTCCTCCTCCTCCTCTTCTTCCTCATCCTTCTCTTCTTCCTCCTCCTCCTCCTCCTGCTCCTCCTCCTCCTCCTCGTCATCCTCCTCGTCCGAGGCCTCTTCGGGTCGTCATGCTCCCCGTCCGAGGCCTCCTCCCGTCAGAGTTTCGCGGGGGCGCGAAGACGATCGCGCCTCGCGCGCGCCGCGGCCTGCGCCGGAGCGGGGTCTCCAAGGGAGGGCGGTGCGAGAGCAGGACGGCGCGAAGATAGGAGTGCGCATCGCGGGGCGAGAGGGTACGATGGCGCGAAATTTTTGATAGGGGTGCGAACAATGACATATACATAATAAAAACTTGGAGGTCCGCGCGGATTTCTCGGATCCGCGCTGGACCCCCTGGTGGCGCCTCCAGCGTCGCCCCTGGCGCGCTCCGCGCGCCAGGAAGGAGGGTCCAGCGCGGATCTAAGAAATCCGCGCGGACCTCCGAATTTTTATGTTTATGCCATTCTTCGTTCCCATCTTTGAGTGACCACTGAGGACGAGGCCGCCGAGGAGGCCCCACTGGGGGCGGCCGCGCGGGGAGTCAGCAGACTGCTCCCCGCCCCGCTGCTTCCCGACCGGATGGCCTTCTCCTGCCCGGCGACACCGCCGGCCCGCGAGGACCCCGCCGCCGCCGTCTTCTTCTCCTCGTCGGCCGGGGGTCCCCCTGCGGTGCGGTGAGCATGCCACACGGTGGGTGAGCGGAGATCCTCCTCCTCCTCCTCCTCCTCCTCCTCCTCCTCCTCCTCCTCCTCCTCCTCCTCCTCCTCCTCCTCCTCCTCCTCCTCCGCGGGTGTCCGCGCGGTGTCAGGACTCGGGTGGCCGCGCGGTGTCAGGAGTGGGGTGGCCGCGCGGTGTCAGGACTCGGGTCGTTCTGCGAGGATTTCTCGAGCGATCGGGGCTTCCGACGTCGCCGTGCGGTGGCGGACCGGGCGGCGAGGTCTTTCTGGTGTTCCGAGGTCACCGTGCGGTCTGTCACCGCACCATTCTAGGACCCCCCGTTCTCGGGTCGGACGACAGGGAGGGGGACAGGGCAAGGGGGGTGCGAAATCTGATGCATGCAGCTGGTTTCGGCCCCGCCGCCGGGCGCTTTCCTTGATACATTGGCGCCTCCATCGCCAGGAGGACCTGCTCCGGGGTATGATTCGCTAGCCCCCCTTTGCATTGCCTCCAGTTTGACCGACCCGATTGCGATCTTCTCACAGGAAGGATTTCGGATCGGTGCTTCCATCGTGTGGGGTTATATAAGTTGCCCTCGGGACCTCCAGGGGCTTCCGGAGGGCATGAAGACAAGGGGTCCCTAAGTGTGATGGGTTTTCCGCCTTTTCTGGCTTTCTGGGCCCCTCCCGAGCCCCGTGACGGTTACACAGGGTACAGCTGAGCAGCGATTTATGAGACAGAGGGCGATGAGAGTGCCTTGGCGGGATTCAGGCAAAGCGGACCTTCATCTGCGCTTCCAGGCGTCTCCAGAATCCGTGATCCGTGATGCAGTCGACAACAGAAGCTCACCAGGTAGGCTTGAACCCCTCGGCGCGCTGTGCCTTCTTCCATGTCTGATGAATGAGATGAGTATGCGTGCGCCCTCATTTGGGTCGAAAATGCACAGGTTATCCGAACGTAATGTCCTGTTAGCATGATTATCACCGGACGCCGTGTTCCCGAGCTTCATTGATGAAGGCTTTGTCGGCACGGTGCTGACTGGATTCAAAGCGTGGGCTCCAAGGTATTATTGCAGAGCGTCTTTGATAGCCATGGCGCGCGCAGGATTTATCTCTGTAGCATTTTTGCACAGGGTCGTGTCGGAATACTTCGCCAAGTGGCGACGCTCGAAAAAGTCACGCGCACGAAATAACAGTCCAACAAATAATGAAGGGTTGGGTCTTGGAGTGGTTGGTCCGCAAAGCAGTACTCACGTTTTCCAGGTGTTTCATTCTTGCTGAAGGCGCTTTACTTTTCTGCGGCTGTCATCGTGGATGTTTGATCATTCTGTCGTGGCCACGGATGTGCGCAGCTCGCAAGATTGTCCAGGATGGTGTCAGGTCCTCCATGGACATGACTCTGAACGAAACGGTTGGGCCGACCTCCAGACGTCACGGAAAGCCACGATTGATGGTGTTGGTTTCATATTTTAGGCTTCCAAGTGTAGTTTTTTGCTGGGCACTGGAGCCACCAAACGATTGCCCGCGACAGAAAAATCAGTCCCGGGGATGGGGTCCAGAGATTCGTGAGCCCTCGTTTTGGGAAGATCGCGACGTCGGAGGCCTCGGTTCTCATCATCCTCGTCCACGTCATCTTCCTCCCCTGCCCTTTCGGGCCGACCTGCTCTGGTTGCTCTCTGATTATCTGTCTCGTTCTCTTCTCCTCTCCGTCTCTTCCCATGAGAGGGTGCTCGCTTCGTTGCGAATGCCCCGCCCCAGCAGCGCAACAGTTCTCCCCCTTCTCATCTTCCTCCTTCCCTTCCTCGTTCTCGTCATCTCCCTCATGAGTCTTCCTGGTCCTGCCCCTCAGCGTCCTCATTCTCCCCGCCCTCGCGATACACACAGATGCATACGCATACGCATACGCATACGCATAATTACACACATACACATATGCACCTACACGCATACACATACACATACACATACACAGACACAGACACATGCACATGCACATACACATACACATACACACATCTTCGGTCGTCGCGGGCGGGAGCCACTCCTCGCCGTCAAACGCCCGCGCGGAGGCAAGCAAAGGGGCCAATGAAAGAACAGGAGAGACGGCCGGCCCCTCACCGGGGGGCAGTGGCCAGGGGCGGCACCTGCGGCGCCAAGGCAGCAGGGGCGTCGGGCGACCGGCAGCAGGGGAGGCGAGGGCCGCGCCAGAGGTGAGTGAGGCGGGCAGGGGCGGCGCGCCGAACGCGGGATTCTACAAGGACGATTGGGGCTCAATCGAGCTCCATCCAGGGCAGTTCGAGGTCAAAGCGGGCTCTGAGAAGGACGGTTCGAGCTCCACGCTAGATGTAGCAAGGTCGGTTAGAGCTCAATCGAGCTCTTACCAGGTCTGTTAGAATTCGATTCGGATCCAGGGCAGGGGCGGGAAGTCCCACAGCTCCCCCAAATTTGGCTAGTCTTCAGGTCGGAAACTATCCGTACCTGAAGAACCACCGCAAGAACTTGAAACACCAGCTGGAGCGGTGCCAGACCGAGCAAGCACTCGCAGCACAGTCTGGCGACCCGGATCGAGCTGCAACAGCTGATCACCGGGCGCGCTGGATCGCGCACAAGCAGGAGCCCGCGTATTCGGACGGCAATGAGCGCCCGCGCGGCAGCCTCGACGAGAGAGCGCTACGGATCATGACGGAAGAGGGGCGAGAGTGGAACGACGACATGATGCACGCGGGGCTCCATAATTCCAGGCTGGAGGCACCTCGTCGTCGTCGTTGTCGTTGCCGTCGTCGTCGTCGCACCCGTCGTCCACCTCGTCGACGTCGTCTCCGTCGTCGCCATCGTGGTCGTCGTCGTCCTCGTCTTCGTCCTCGTCGTCGGCGTCGCCGTGGCCATCGTGGCCATCGCCCCGTCGTCGTCGGCGTCGGCGTCGGCGTTGTCGTCGTCGGTTGCCGTCGTTGCCATCATGCCCGTGGTGTCCGCCGCCTGGTCCCGCCTGGCCCCGCCTGGCCCGCCGTCAGGTCTGCCGTCATGTCCGCCGTCAGGTCCGCCGCCTGGTCCCGCGCGGTCCCGCCGACGACGACAGCGACGGCGACGACGAGGTGCCCATTTGGCAGACTACAGGCCCCGAACCTCGTCGTGGACCAGCGGCGCGGACTCCGACTCCTCGTCGTGGACCAGCAGCGCGGGCTGCCAGTAGCTCAGCGGCTGCAACAGCCCGGGCTCGTCGATCAGCGTCGGCCTCCAATCCATGAGCGTCAGCGGCTGCGCCAGCTCCGGAGCAGGGACCACCTCGGAGGCAGCTCGTGCTCGAGTTCACAGATCGCACACCCCCGCGGGAGGGGGGTGATGAGCTCCCAGCTCCAGAGCGGGACCAGGATTGGCATTGGGTTCCGCCGCGGAAGAGAACCCCTGACTCTCCGCCACATGGGCCCCCGCCAGCGACGAAGAGCAAGGCTGTTGGGCCGAAAGAGCACCTCCGAAATCAAGGCCAGCATCGTCAAGTTCGCAGACGCCGCTGCCGAGGCCACCGCCGATCCCGAAGAAACTTCCCGCCACCGACCCACCGCCGCCGTGGCGCTGGCAGGTCCAAGGCGCGATGGAGCTCTCCGCCACCGAGCAAGAGCGAGACCGGGATTTTCATCCAGAAGCTGAGCGGGCTCGGTTGCGAGGTGCAGCCAAGCGGGCGAAGACCGCCTCGTGCAACCGCGAAGAGACGGCCGAGCGCGCGAAGCAGCGGGGCAAGATGGCCGCCCACGCCCGCAGAGCTGAAACAGCCACCAAGGCAGCGACAATCAAGGGGCACAAGGAGAAGGACCCGACGGCGCACAAGTGCGTCGCCAGGTTGCCTGACGCGGAGGCCGCCGAGGTCATGGAGACCAAACCGAAGCGGCTGCCCGGTGGTTTTGAGACACCCGCGCGAGGCGGCGCCGGCGCTCCACGAAGACCTGGACCATCGTGGAGGGTTCCTCTCTCGACCCCGTCGCGCGGGAGTGGGAAGTCAAGCTGCGGGGCGCGAGGAACAGGCACATTCATGGCGCCCTCATCTCGGGCCGCTCCGTTCTCTAGTCGAGCAGGGGGGATAGTCTGCGGCCTCTGTTGCAGTCGGGCGACTTCGCCATGTTTCATCCCATCCAGGCTGTAACAGCGATGGATGGTACGCACGCCCCCCTGAAGTCGGCCTCCGAGATCAGCGTGGGGGGAGCGATGTTCTGCCAGGTGCAGCGCAGCAGCCTGCGCTACGCGCGCATCGTGCCCCGGGCGGAGAAGGGCCACCACCGCGGCCAGGACCGCTACATCATCGGCAACGTCGACTTGCGTGAGAACGGCTGGCGCCCCAGGCAGCATACCTACGGGGCCCTCGTCGACGTCCAGGCGCAGTGAAGGGCAAGCATTACTCGCGCCCGCGCCCCAGAACTCTCTTCCAGACGGCGCGGCCGATGATAGGGCACAACCGCTGGAGCACAGGGGCCCGCGGGCTGTGCGAGCCGATCTGGCGGGCCGACGCGGCCAGGGCTGACTCGGAGACTGACGGCCAGACCAGCTGAGCAGCTGAAACAGCTAGGACTGCTGCAACAGCCGCGAGCATTTCAGGAATCAGTGTTATTTTGTCTGGACGGCCCCCTGCCCCCGACAGCGCGCGCTCTCGCCGCAGCTGAATCGCGGCCCGGCATGTCCTCAACAGGCGCCGCCAGCCGCGCCGCCGCCGCCAGACTCGCCGCAGCTCCTGATCGCGCAAACAATTTGCCGACTCCTCGAATGCCCGTCCGCGCCACTCGAACACTCTCATTTCCAGTTTTTTTACGTTTGTTTATTCGTTCCCCCCGTTGCCCCTGCTGCTCGCGATGCTCATTCTCCCCCGCCTTCGCTCCTCCTCTTCTGCCTTCTCCTTCCTGCTCCTGGTCGCCCTCTTCCTGCTCGGGATTCCGCTCGTGATCGCCCTCCTCCTCCTGCGCATTCGACGGGCCCCCG